CTCCATAATAATGCTCCAGGGCCTTGGAAGCATATCAAGAGATGGGATGTGCAAATCTGTAGGTAAATATGGAAGTCACTATTTCAAGTGAAATGTGCTCCAGGTTAGTGCTAGAAAGGTAAGTATTAATGTAAGATGTTTGTGCTGACAGCCAATACAATTAGCTATCTCATTCTACTTTTGTATTTTCCCCTTCAGGTTTGCTTTAAAGACAAACATATAGCATCTCCCTCTTTACACATGCTACATGGTTGCAACATGGATAGATAACACAAGGTGTATAATAAAAGTCCATGTGTGGGCAGCTTTTGTACAATTTACATGCCTCAGACTGGGTTATTCACAAAAGGATGAAGAGTTTGGAGAAGGCAGGAGAAGTGAAGAATCTAGGACAAAATAGCTGATTTGTAAAAATTCTCCAATTCAGCTCACATTTCAAATCAGCTATTCTGGCCTAGATTGTTCACGCCTCCTGCCTTCTCCAAACTCTTCACCTTTTGTGAATAACCCTGTAAGACTTTTTAGGTCCATGGTACAGAGAGACATAATATATTATTATCCATGTAGTACAGCTAAGGAAACATCTTTGCTATACTCACAATGGTTAATTGTACATCCCCTTTTTAAATAACGTTGCACAACTTACATGTTCTCATGTTGCTATGAGGCTCAGATGCTGCTCTTTCATTGGGAAATTCAATGGGCTTTTCTCAATCAATTAAGTCAAAATTGGTGCTTATATATTAAGGACACAAATAGGACACAAATAGTACACAAATCAAAGGACACAAATAGATTATTTAAATGTGTAAACGGATGAGACTTCCTGATAAACACGTATGATAAATGGAGCTGACTTTTGCTCATATGGATTTTCTCTCTATGTTGGTAGGTATTTGGGACAAAACGGTTTCTTTTTTCTCTATGGAACAGAAAATAAACCTTTTTTTGTGTGCTGGTGCCCAACATCATTAAATTGGTAAAAAAAAGTTGCTATACATACACTGTGTGTGGGGCAGTCAGCTCCCTTTCAGCCTGCATTCCTCGATCGAAGGAGCCGGCTGGAAAACTTTCACACTATCAGGGCAATTTTTTTGGTTCAGTCAGCAGGTTGAACGAAAAAATTGATAGGTGTATGGCCAACCTTAGACATGAGATAACAGCTTTTCAATCCAGATTGGGAAGTGAAACCATGGCTATGCTGACAGGTAGACAAGACATCTACTGGCCAACAGCTTTTGGGAAGGAACATCAACTAGGCAGGTTACAAAGCCTTGCTTTGTGCACTAGTGCGCAGTCATGTTGGAACAGGTAGGGGCCATTCCCAAACTGTTCCCACAAAGTTGGGATCATGACATTGTCCAAAATGTCTTGGTATGCTGATGCCTTAAGAGTTCCATTCACTGGAACTAGGAGGCCAAGCCCAACCCTTGAAAAACAACCCCACACCATAATCCCCCCTCCACCAAACTTTACACTTGGCGCACTGCAGTCAGGCAACCGCCAAACCCAGACACGTCCATCGGATTGCCAGACAGAGAAGCGTGATTCGTCACTCCAGAGAACACTTCTCCACTTCTCTAGAGTCCAGTGGCGGTGTGCTTTACACCACTGCATCCACGCTTTGCATTGCACTTGGTGATGAAAGGCTTGGGTGCAGCTGCTCGGCCATAGAAACACATTCCATGAAGCTCTCTACGCACTGTTGTTGTGCCAATCTGAAGGCCACACGTAGTTTGGAGGTCTTTAGCGATTTATCTGCAAACAGTTGGCGACTTCTGCACACTGTGCACTTCAGCATGCGCTGACCCCACTCTTTCATTTTATGTGGCCTACCACTTCATGGCTGAGTTGCTGTTGTTCCCAGTTGTTTCCACTTTGTTATAATCCCACTAACACTTGTGCGTGGAATATTTAGTAGCAAGGAAATTTCACGGATGGACACAGGTGGCAACCTATCACGGTACCACGCTTGAATTCACTGAGCGACCCATTCTTTCACAAATGTTTGTAGAAGAGTCTGAATGCCTAGGTGTTTGATTTTATACACCTGTGGCCATGGAGGTGATTGGAACACCTAGAGCTCCTAAAAAGAGGTGACTCTATTGCAGCAAACAGTTAAGCATGTTACTGGTATAACAGTAGGCGGCAATAATGGAGACATCCTGTCCTGTTGAGCTGTTTGGGCATTTGCCATTGTACCTCTGTCCTGTGGGGAAAAAAAACCCTTTCTGCACCTATTGAGCAGTATATGTTCAGTATGTCAGATTAACCCCGATGAATAGCATATAGCTTTAAACATATGATCATGGAAGTTCTTCATAATTGTAATTGCTCTAAGTGTGATGTGTGACACATGGTAATAAAAACATTATTTACAGACAAACATAATTTACAAAAACAGCTTTCAGGTCAGTTCAAAACAGTCAACAAGATACCATTAGCATTACACAACCGATACTGTCTCTACTGTACTTGTTAGTAAATTGCACTCATGTGGACAATAAACGAAGCCTGTGATGTGGGGCTGACAGATGATTCTAACTTAAAAAGCTAAGTA